TGTATATACATATATATAACTTCACGCGATGGTCGATGAATTATCGTATCTTGACAACCAAGATGATGATTTTTATACTGAAGACGTTGAATACACAGATGATGATTGGCAATGGGAAGAAAGGCTTCGCCTCATAAACGAATTTTCAAACTGGACTAGTGGTGATGATGGATTAGATAGATTTATTCAACAAACTCAATTAGAAACGCCGTGAGTAATCACTTTTTTTCATAATTTTACATACAATAACTCTTGACACATAGCATAGGGATTCAAATTCGCTATATCGTAAATTTAATAAATTCACTATATTTTTATGGTATGGCTTGAACCTTGATTTGTTATATTGAGATTTTATTTAATCTCCACTATATCAAGGGTCCGCTATATCAAGAGTATATATCAAGAGATATTGTGTATTCTACATTTTATTCTACATTTTCTTCGTTTATTTATATTCATAATGTTAATGAGTTATTTTTGTTTATACTATTGTATTTAAAGTGATCCTCGTTATCACATGCAGTGGATACCTTTCGAGAACTTTAGTGACATAAAATTTGTTGCTAAAGGAGGCCATAGTTCCGTATTCTCGGCAACTTGGCTAAATCAAACTGACCAAGTTTGGGACGGTGCCAAGCAGGCACTTGTAGAAAAGCCTCTTATAGTTGCACTAAAGTCTCTTAAAAATTCTCAACAACTCAGTGAGGAATTCTTGGATGAGGTTCGTTCTGAAATAACACGATTTATTATTTGTCACGTATAATTATAATTATTTTTATTATTAATTAACCTGTAATTTTTCTTGTTTTAATGATAGTTTAAGCGTCATGGTAGTCTCAAACTGGATGGTTGTGGTTACGTTGTTCATTGTCACGGTGTGACACGCAATCCAGAGACACAAGAGTATATGATGGTTATGAATTATGCTGAAGATGGTGATTTTAGACATTATATACAGAAAAATATTACTACCCTTCGTTGGAAGGATGCCGTTGAAATGTTATGTAGCATCGCAATGGGTCTTCTAAATGTGCATAAAAATGGTACATTCCATAAAAATTTGCATTGTGGCAACATTTTAAAGTTTTTTAGTTGTAACATCGCAGATCTCGGTTTGTGTGGTCCAAGCAATCCCTCAGAACCACGAGGGGTATATGGTTCCTTACCATTTGTTGCACCAGAAGTTCTAGCTGGTGACTCATTTTCTGCAAAAGCTGATATATATAGTTTCGCTTTCATAATGTGGGAATTATCTTCTGGTCGACCCCCCTTTTCAGATAGACCACATGATCATTCATTAGCATTAGAAATTTGTCATGGTTTCCGAGAGGCCATAGTGCCCGGTACACCATTATTCTATGAACAATTAATGGTAAAATGCTGGAATGCAGATCCATCATTGAGACCTGATGCTGAAGAAATTGTAGATATATTATTGAATCCATATGATTATCAACGTCGTCTTCTTGGTTTAGATGAATTTACAATAAATAGCGCAAACATTGACGACGTTGATCAGTTTGAACAGACCTTAGCATCACACATATCAAGTACAAAATACCCGGTCTCTCCGGACATACATCCATTTGCAATTTATAATAGCCGTTTCCTATTATTCCCAAATTTACCAACACCACAGAATTCATTCGTAGCTGCGGAACCACCAATAATGAAATCATATCTTGATTGTATGTGTATTGATTGTATTCAAAAGTTTTTCATTTCTGAAAAATAATACTAATCATTTTGATTTTCCTTTTCAGTCAATGATAAATCTCAACAATATTCCCTACAATGTGATGATGAAATAACATACGAAGGTTTGTATACTTTAAAATAAGATTTAAGCTAGCGAACGTTATAAATGTGAATATTAATAATAAAAAAAAATTACTTTCTTTTCGATTTGTATAGAATATGACACCAATTGTCCGCCAGACTTTTCTGGTGAGTTATACTTATTATTATATAGCATATTCTTATATAATTAGTTACTCATTACTAACGTTTATCTACAAACAGATATAGAAAGTGACAATGAAAGTGAAAATGAAAGTGAAGATGAACAATATACTCCACCTCCGCCTCCACCTATATCAATGCTTCGCAGAAAATCATTCGCACCTATTCCACTGACAATAAATTAATGACCGCATAGCTTATTTTCATTACATATTTCTTGCTTGGCAAATTCATCTTGTTACATATAGACTATATTCACACAAATGACTCATGTCACTTGTGCATGTATAAATATACCACTTGCAATATATAGATATTTATAACTTCATTAACAGCTATTGACATAAACACAAACACAAAATTCTCCATATTAGTACAATTTCATTTGTTAAAAGGTTTTATTCCCTTTCAATTTATCATGTCTACAAATTTTAAATTCGTACGATATCGAAATTTTTTACATTATATGTTTTAGTTGTTGTTTTTATATTTTTATTTAGACAATTCACAATCCTTTATTTTCTTGAAATCTTTGATTATTACTATTGGCATAAAACATCAAAAAAAGTTATGCCGTATTTTTCAAACTTTTGAAGAAATATATATATAGATGTATATTTTTTTCACTGAAAACTTTCAAAAAAAAAAAAAAAAAAAGGAAAATAAAAAAAATAATTATTTTAAACGTTAAAAATTGTTAATTCAAATATTTTTTTTACTTGGACAATGACTTGGACAATGATGTGTGATCTTTCCTCTTTATTAATGATTTTTTTGTTTGTAACATCGTAACTGAAAACTTTTAAATGTCAAATAGAAATCTTTTATAGCGATAGCAACAAAAATGGCAAATTATATAACGATAAATAACGATGATATCGGTCACAAAATTACGCACTAGGAACTTTTAGGGATACGCGCTTATGTATATACTATTTTTAACTACCCCAGCTTTCAAGATCAGGTGTAACGTGAAATTGTTTGTAGCGCCTTTTGCGTTCTAACAAAAAAAAATTCCTCGCCAAATTTTACTTTAAATTTTGATTTCACGTTGCACCTGATCTCGAAATATGATTGGCTGATTTTTTTGAGGTGTTCTTGGGTAAATACTATTTTTCACGAGCCAATGGTCACCTCAGTATATATTCTTAAAAAATATGAAATTGTAATGGAATTCAATATTAAAATTTATTTCGCCCTAATCTTTCGATTTTTCAAAAGCCATGGGTGCCTCTAAAGATCCTTTTGGCACAAAAGACAATACTTTATAAATTTCACCCATTGCCGAAGGATGAACAAGTCTTTCGGTTGAAGATATTAAATCTTTATGTTGTGCAGGCAATGCATTTTTTAACAACATTAATAGTCTAGCTTTTATACCAAGTGATTGAAGAAATTTCGATTGGGTTATGGGACCATACGTGTCAACTAATAACAAATATGCTATTTAATAAAAAAAAAAAGAAAATATAGCATCTATATAAAGAACTAATATGCAAAACTGAAATTACCTAAATCTGTTACAGATTCTTTTAGATAACAAAAATCCACATCAGCACTTAAATCTGCTTGTCCTGGGTCGCTCAATGGATGAACAAATTCATGTTGTTTTATTGCCTAAAAATTTGATAATTTAAAACAATTTGTACTCTCAAATTAATCTAGTTATTAATAACATTTATTTAACAAAACTCTCACCCTCAAAGTATTTCCTTGAATGAAATCTTGTCCATAATCAATAATAAGTGACGCACCACCATTGTCTTTGATATGCTTTGCGATTTGTTTAGAAATTTTCATTGAATCTGGGGATATTTCAATCCTATCTCCAATCTTGAACTTTTTATATGCTAGTGATCCAGTTAAGGCAATAGATGCCCTTGTAGGGCCTGGCGCCACAATTAAACGAAAATTATGACTAATCGATACGAAAATAAAATATCATCTCAGTAAATAAAATAATTGAATTAATATGAAATAAATAATATAAAATTAGTTCTGCACTATTGCCTATTTTCTGTATCATCAATGTCAACCATAACCTCACGCCAACCATTTGAGGTACACTATAGATATTTACATAATAGTTGATTAGTTTAACATGCACTGCTTAAAAAAACAACACACATTTTAACAATTATAATTACTTCAAAAAGATGAATTGGTAATGCATCAAAGAATTCATGTGCAATAATCATTGACCATTTATCTATTAAATTAGTTATAAGTTAATTTATTTTTATAATTACGGCGAATTTATGAAATGTGTCATTTTCTTATTGTAAAATAAGAAATGTTAAAAAAAATATATATATAAATATATAGTAAATGAAGCATTTCATAGTCTAGTCAAATACTCATTTCATAAATTCGCCGTAACGTAATAAATAAGATATGAATAAAAGGTTCATATAATACCAGGAATTTCGTTAAATGAATCATGCCAAAAAAATTTCATTCCATCAAATTTGCTTTTTGATGAGCTGCATAATTTTTGATATTGAATTTCTCGTAACTTTGGACTTACCTCAATTAAGTTTACTTCACATATTGATCGAAAACAATCACTAAAGTTGGATATTGCCTATCAAAAATTGTTTCATCAGAATAGTACTAATATCTTAAATTTGAAAAGAAATTAATCCTGATTTTTTTTTTTTTACATTAAGCATATCATAAAGTAACGTTCCTCTTCCTGGACCCAATTCTATAATCTGGATTTTGTTTGGTTTTCCTTGACTTTGCCATTGGGTCAAAAACCATATTCCAATCAGCTAAGCATTTAAATCAATAATATTATACGTATATATGAAATAACAATGGTTTTATTATAAGCATTTAAACATAATGAATTGGAAATTAATAATCACCTCACCAAATATCTGACTAATTTCGGGAGATGTAACAAAATCTCCTTGTCTACCAAATACATCACCCGTCATATAGTAACCACCATGAGAATTTGTTAATACCTCTCTCATATATTGCGCAATTGATATAGGTCCTATTGCCTAATTAAAATTTTTTTTCAATTAATGTCATAAAATGAAATTTTGATAGATCGTTTTTTTTATCTAAAATTACCCTAATCGCTTTCTTAAGGCTATTTATTAATTCATTATTTTTTGTCGAATAGTAATGTCTTGAAATATTATTATTGAATAATGGTAGCCTACACAAAACTCGATACATTGTCCTGAATTTTCACTCTTTTTTGATGCTATATTATTTTTTAATCACTTTTAATCATTATCGCAATAATTTTTTGAAAAGATTTTTTTTATAAAAATTTACCATTATTTTCGTGAAACAAATTTGAAGTCACATGTATTTAGAACACTTTGTAATGTAGCACAAGAACTAACACCAAATAGTTCATTTGATGCTAATTTAACCGATTCTTATAATTCATTAATAAATGGATAAGTGATATATATATATTATTAAAAAGCTAAGAAGCATTTATCATTCAATTACTAGGGCTTGTTTTTTGGTAGCGGTAGTAGTTTAGGTCAATAATAAATTAAGCACAATATTATCATTTTCACTAACTCCGAAAAAACCATTGACATCTAAATCATTACAGCTATCCATATTGTTTTAATATTCATCCTCATCATAATTAGTATTACAGTGATTAGTTGTCTTTATAATGCATATTACCATCTTCATCTGAATTCAATAATCCGCAAGGGTTGCCAGAGACGTGGAAAAATATGTTCCAAAATTTCCGAATATGGCGCTGGCGCTGGAAGTCTATACCTTATTTTCGCGTAATAACAGCACCTGTGCTTGTTTTGTGACGTACACGTGTGATATTTCGAATCGTTTTTATACAAAACATAATAGATTTGGTATGACAAATATATAGTATTGGCTATATTTGCAAGTCCAATTAGCTTCAGATGCGGTAAGGGCGCGTTATTCTGAGACGCACATGGGCATTATTTGCAATTTTCCAACGCCCATCTGCGTTATTACGCGCGCAAATACAGTATTTGACAATCACAGCTTGTTTTTAAATTTTCAAATCATTTTAACTTTTTATGCAGGCAGTTATTAAAAAAATGATTGGTAACTTTATAGTACAACATAAGCCCTATCTATAAAGTTACTATATAGTTAGCTCTTTTAAAAACCATTTACATACTATGTCCAACAAAGTATCCCTGTACTTGTTTTTTTTAACAATACTGTATAACTTTTTAGAATGACAATAAATAATAAAAGTTTATTTTTATAATATCAAAAAATTTGACCTATATTAGGGTTTACTATTAAAAATTTTTTTAAGTTTCTAATAGCAGATAGTGTATAAGCCAAAGTTTGTTAAAATTTAAGATATTACAGTATTATGGTGGGTAAAATGGCGGATTGAACATATTATAAGGAAACAGGATTTTTTATCAAATTTGAAATGTTTATCTTTTACTTACCATTAAATTTTTGTGCAATACGGATAACATTTATTGATGGCTTTTTTTGTTATACGATTTGACGCAGAAAATTAATTTTCAGCGCCAAAAGCGTACAACAAAAAAAGCCATCAATAAATGTTATCCGTATTACACAGAAATTTAATAGTAAGTAAAAGATAACATTTTGAACAACCTTAATTAGTGAGTAAAGTTCGATTTACTTAGTAAACAGTCCCGTTTTAAGTGTAAACCGATTTTTTTAACTAAAAGTCGCATGAAAGAAAAGTATTATAAAAAAAAGGTCGTCGATTTACATAAGTTCGCTACTTTACGAAATTAAAAAATTATAGTCATCTAAATAACTTCGCATGATTTATATGAACTGTGAAGCATGATTTTTATCATGATTGTAAGACCAAGTTAAATGATTTAAAAAGATCTTCAAAAAAGCAAAGTTTTTTGTTTAGACTTTTATTAGTAAGAAGCATTAACTGTGCCATAATACCCGCACTCACTAATCATCTAAATTTTGTTCATTTTACAGTAATCCTTATTTACTTGTTTATATGAGTGTCGCTAAAAGAAAACATACACATTTATATATATCCTATATATAAATGTGTATGTTTTCTTTTAGCGACACTCATATATTGTACGTTGCGACAGTCAAGTCATATTTTTTTCTAAACAATTAGTAAATCAAAATATATTGTTACGTGTATTATCGCTTGCAAATTATTTATAAATAAAATATACAAGGAATTTCAGAGAAACGCTTTACAATGTAAGGACTGTAGAAAAAAAATTTTTTTTTGTGGAAAAAGTTATTTCATTTATTATTATTATAGAAAATTTTTAAACTTAAGTTCTAGTTGAAGGTAGTAATTTAATCATCTCTTGAAAATAGATAATTTTTCAGTCTTAATTTAAGGATCCTTCGTTTTTTAAATATAGTTTCTATACGATTATAGACATTCTAAATTTTTAATAACATTATATTCTACTCAATGAATTATTAAAAACTACCTCTAACATTTAAGCCAAACTAATTTTATTTCACCTTATTTCACTTAAACACGTTTTAAGTTCAAATGTGATACGTCAAGTTATTCAAGCAAGTATGACATCGAAAATCTTAGAAAAAAGGACAAATCACTGTATCAATGTCTTGCTAAACGTGACATCTACCATAGCTAATACATTAAATGTTCGCTCTGCAAAATAAAATATTTTGTTTCTCATCAAGGAAGTGTTCTAAAAACGATGAAATACAATCATGGGTATTTTATCCTTGCAAATATCCAACTATAATTTGAGCATCGCTAAAAAAAGTGTCAATAAATCTTCGGTTGTAGACCAATTTCTTGATTGTCGTCGTAACAGACCATCTCAAACATTTTTTCTTTTTGCTCTAACCAAAAAACAATACTTACCCGAGCGCACTGCATACCAAAATGTGATAATCCTTGTAACTGTCGTCCCAACAGGTCACCCATTAAACGCTTAGGATTTAACTGTCGTCCGACAGACTAAATCCTACTAATACCAAAGAAACGACTATTAACCAATTACGCTTTATCTGTTAAACAACCTACCCGGGCGTAATATGTTCCGATGTATCGGATAAATGTCGTTTTTGAATCCGATATCTTCATTTTTTTGTTTACTCCTATTTCTGTAATTTAAAATATAAACTGACATTGAAAAAAATTATTTTAAAAATTAAAATTTTGTATTTACCGATAATTCTTTCGTGACTGTCGTCCCGACATGCCACCTGCTAACAAATTAAGATTTGACTGTCGTCCAACAGGCTAAATCTTAACAATCACTAAAACAACTATTATCTTGCCGAGCACCAGATTAACGCTTTTCTAAACAGACTACCACCCTGTTAGGTCATATATAAATGCTGCCAAGGGAAAATGTCCCTTCGGACTTTCAATTATATTTTTATCGGACACAATCCTTAAAAAATTAGATAGTGTCCGGTACAATATATAATTAAAGTTCGAAGGCCATTTTCCCTTGGCAACACTCATATGAGGGCGGGTGAGGGCGGAACGAAAAAACCAAAGACGGGTTAGCAGAAAAAACAAATGATTTGATTCTGGCAGAAACCCGTCCCTTTAAAATATGCCCTATCGATTACAAATTAAAAATACTACGTAATTACGTCGTTACTATAATTACCTCTAACGATGTAATTACATCGATACTACAATAGACTTTAACGATTACAAATCGAAATACTACGTAATTAGATAACCTTTACGATAAGCTCCTAGAATTACAAATTGAAATACGACGTAATTTAATACAATTTACATCATTAATCACACAATAAATCACAATAATACAATAATACTGTTAACGATTCACACTCCGTGTTCAATTTGAGACAAAATGTTGCTCCGATACTTTCGTATCGGGCAGTTAATATACAGTAAATGAAGATTTATTCAACTTCTGTATCCCAGATGCTCAACTGTGCATGACCATCCAGATAAGGCTGATTATTTAGATCTTCAAATTCACCTATCCTCATCTCCTTTATTGAATCTTAATCGAATACAACGAATTATTATGAATTGCAAAATAAAGGTACAAATTAATGCGGAAATATATTTATCAATACCTTCAAATTGCTTGTTTTTGTCATAAAATTTTAAGATACGATGATACGTATTTTTTATTACACTATTATTATTTTTTTTTTTTAATTAAAATAAATATGGAATTCCAAGTTATTAACAAACTATTATTAACTTCGAATGACAATTAATTTATAATACCTGTGTGGTAATCCTGCAATATTCGCGGCACGTAAGATGGTATCCCACTTAATGGTAGGCTCATTAGAAATCTTAATGGTAGGCTCATTAGAAATATAATCTTCTGAATTTACATGCTCAGTCGTAAAGGATTGAGTTGTACTAGAAATTTCATATTCATTAGGTATTGGTATTATTAAATCGCAAACATTATAATAATATACGAGTATCGCCAAATAATATACAAACCCAGAAATCTTGTAAAGATTCTAGGTTTTCATTTGATGACATTAATCTAAAAGTAAAGCTTACTCCTGTATGACTGTTTGATGTAGGGACCCAATAGCGTCCAGAATTTTCCTTAACGCATCTTCAACCGCGAAAGTGATGGAATCTGGAGGTTGAGAACGTTTCTTTGGATCTGGCGCTGGAGGTTGAGGACGTTTTTGTTTCTCATTCAAACTATTCAGTGTATTTACAATGTATTTTACTTCTTGTTCCATCAAATTGTATTTCCTAGTTGAGCTTTGATTAAATAATTCGAATTTTAATTTATCATCAGGTAGTAATGCTATGGATGCATTTGCATTTTTTGAAACTGTCATTGAATCAGAAGTTTCTTCCGAAATTGTAATTGAATCAGAATTTTCTTCTTGATCTGTCCAGTCAAATGGTTCATATTTCTGTGGTTCCCTTTTAACGTGTTTAAATGTTAATAATATTGATTAGAATTAATCAAAATAATTTTTTAGAAAATTAACTCACCGTCCTAGATTTTCTATCAACTCGGGCCATCGTATTTTATCACTGGCGCCAGAAAATTTACTATAATAAATAATGTATTCCTTAATAAGCAATGTTTTTCAAAATTATTTTCTAACAGAGTAACAAATGAATAAATTACTTCAACGCATAAACATCATCTGAGTAGTTGTATTTTAGTAAATGTTTTGCAAAATTTAAATCTGATTCATCAATTTTGAGAGAAATAGCGGGTAGTGGCTTAGTTATAGTATTTTCCGACAATATTTGTTCTGGGTCATACTCAGGTGGGTATTTGAACGTTACATTCATATCACGATCTCGGGACCAAGTCTTCTTCTCATACAAACGTTGAAAACATCGTTCAATTTTTTCAATCAGTTGCGTATCAGATTTTTTTTTAAGCTTTTTGAGAGCTCTTAATCCTTTAGCATGTTTGTCTGGTCTTAAATCATAAAATTTCTGAGCAATTGCAAACGGAGTTCTATTTGTGAAAACATTTGTAGCCAACCAATCCCAAAACATTGTAGGATTTTTCCAAAATACATCCACATTTGCTTCAATACAATCCATTAACAAGCGTATCATATCACATGACCAATATTGCTGGACTCTTGGGCCAAATGAATAAGTTGGAACACCATCTTCAGTTCTTTTTAATTTAAAACACAAATCTGATGATTTTTTAGATTTAGATGGCTGGACAAGTGTTTCATATTCGGAATCAGTTATACCATCATCTATGAATTGATTAAATTCATTTTTGTTAGCACATAATATTTACACATATTAACACAATATTGTAGTTTTTAATGTCATAAGCAAATACCTGTAGTATTTTTATCACAAGAGTATTTTGCTCGTTTAACTTTTAAATTTGAGGAAGAATCTACTTGTTCATCGTCATCCATAGAATCAATATTTTGAGAAAAGCGCTTTTTAGATCCAGAGGTTTCTCTAAAATCATCCAAAATTTTATAAATAAAAATGGTAACCCGCATACTAAAT